ATCACTGTAGCACATGTGCAAAAAACTTAAAAAGAAGAGTTGGTGCTGTGATGCCACTGGTGATGCCACTGAGGATGACAACACCCTCACGCTATATTCTTGATTATTTTGACATGCCTGGGAGAAATAAACTGACTCCACACCTGAAATAACACAGAGAGAAGGCAGACTTGTTGAACGACCATACCCAAGCAAATTCTGATGCTTGGGGATCAACTGGTAAGAAAACCTGCAATAAGTCAAGCACACAGGAAAAACCCTGAGTCAGGGAAATGGAGAATTTGACTAGAAATAAGGACTTTTAGGTCAAGAATCTAAAACTCATGTATGAAACTCCTTTCGAATATGGGCAGCTATAAAAGGAATATGTTATACTTAAAAGATGGTACTGAATTCAGCTAACAGTTTCTGTGTTCTTTCTATATGTCTCAAAGCCAATCCCATAAATAATCTCTTCCTAAATTTTGTATGTCCTGTCCTGACCTGGATGGCCAAGGCTAGCTCAGTTTCGTCAGATCTTGGATTCAATTCGGATCTGGCCGAATTGGCTAACTACCGGCTGGTTTCCAACTTCCCCTATTTCAGCAAGTTAATCGAGAGGGCTGTGGCAGTTTAGTTACAGAGCTATTTGGATGACGCTTCCATCTTAGATCCAGTCTGGCTTTTGCCCAGGACATGGGATGGAGACACCACTGGTCGTCCTCACAGACGAACTTTGGAAGCATCTGGATCGAGGCGGATCAGCGGTGCTGTTGTTAGACCTATTGGCTGCGTTCAATACAGTCTACCACCAGTTACTGATTCACTGTCTCGTTGACACTGGAATTCAGGGGCTAGCCTTACAATGGCTCGCATCCCTTCTTCAGGGTCAGGGACAAAGGGTGGCATTAGAGGAACAACTGTCCCGAAGGCATCTGCTGATTTGTGTAGTGCCCCAAGGGGCAGTACTTTCCCCAATATTATTTAACATCAATATGCGCCCCCTTGCCCAGATTTCCCAGAGTTATGGGCTTGGGTGTCACCAGTATGCAGATGACACCCAGCTCTATCTGTTGTTGGGTGATCAGTCTGTCTCTACACCGGAAGATCTGGACCGGGCGTTGCAGGCTGTGGCTGGTTGGCTTAGACTGAGATGACTGAAATTGAATCCGACGAAGACAGAGATCCTGTGCCTGAGTTGTGGCAGTCCAGGGGTGGGGAGCTCACTCCTAATGGGGCGGTGTTGGTGCCAGTGCCAAGGGTTAGGAGTCTGGGAGTGCTCCTGGATGCCTCCTTAACAATAAAGGCCCAAGTAGCAGCCACTGCCAAGTCAGTCTTTTACCATCTTTGGCTGATTAGGAAGTTGGTTCCCTTCCTCGAATGCAGCAATTTGGTGACAGTAATCCATGTGATGGTCATCTCGAGACTGGACTACTGTAACGCTCTCTACATGGGGCTGCCCATGTCTCAAATCCGGAAGCTGCAGCTAGTGCAAAATGCTGCGGCCAAGCTGTTAATGGATCTCCCTGTGTGGGAGCACATTCAGCCTGTGCTAAAAGCACTGCACTGGCTGCCAATAGCATACTGGATTTGCTTCAAGGTGCTGGTCTTGACCTTTAAAGCCCTTTATGGTCAGGGTTCGGCATACCTAAGGGACCACCTTTCCCCATATGTTCCCCAGAGAGCACAGTGCAGACTCTAAAGATGCCAGGCTGGTGACTACCAGGGCCAGGGCCTTCTTGGTGGTGGATTCATACTGGTGGAATGAGCTCCTGGAGGAGATCAGAGCCCTGTGGGACCTTTTACAGTTTCGCAGGGACTGCAAGACGGAGCTCTTACACCAGGCCTTCGATTAAGGAGCTGCACTATACACTGAGTAGTGTCCCTGTGCCCTGCCTTTACCATCTTTATTCCAACCTGTGCTTGGTTTATCACCTTACCACCGCATAATAGTTGGAGAACTGAGCTAGTGTGAACATCATTAGAATATACGGTTGCCTAAGCCATTTTATAAATAATCTTGCTTTCACTTATTAACTCTGTTCCAATGTTTATTAATATGTTTTAGGAGGATTTTAAATGGTTATTTATATTATGTTTATGATTGTTTATGTACTTGTGTGAGCTGCTCTGAGCCTGCCTCAGCGGGGAGGGTGGGATACAAACCAAATAAATAAATAAATAAAATAAAATTTAAGCTCCGATCATACGCACAATTAGACCTGACATAGATGCAATGCTGGGCAGATTTAAAGAGTGCGATCAGACAACATCTGGGAAGTGCCCCGCAGCCATCAGCAACCTGTTCTGCTCCACTGCAGAAGCAGAGTTAAAAGACACCAGGAGCAACACCGCTCTTTCTCCATAATTCTCCTGGGCCCCAGCTCTAACAATTTATCAAGCTTCACGTTTGTTTCTTTTAGGTGTTCTAAAATGCATTTCACTGTCATGTATGTCAAATCTACCAAGTTGTTAAATTTCCTTTCGTTATCACAACAGCACTCTTTATCCATTAAAGGGAACGGCTTTGTTTCTGCAGCTGCAATTCTCTCAGTTAGGTCATCCTCCCCTTCAGCCAAAACTGCATATTGATTGCAGGCCGGAATGTTGTATCTTTCGTTGCCTTCCCCAAAAAAGTCATCAATCTTAGATTGTTTACTCACGGGAGGGGAAAAGGACTCCTCCACAGCTCTCGAACGTTTCAGGCGTTTGCCAGTAGTCATTCTTCCCCCGTAGAGTGACCTTGCCAGCTAGGTTATTTTCGTTTTCGACAAACAACACTAGAAGGAAGACCACTAACTGTTGGAGTTAAGCCAGATGAAGCAAAAGTCTTCACCTGCTGGCAAAAAGACACTGATGGAGACAAAGGAATCTCTATGGAGAGGGAGTTCCAAAGATTTGGTGCCACAACTGAGAAGAGAGCCAGGTCCTGAAAATGTTTTGAGAAAGGCCCACCTTCCAGGACAAATCCAAGCATTCTTATGAGAATTCATCACTGCCCAGCCTAAAGATGCTGTGAACTTTAGTGGAATTGTCTCCACTATAAAGCACATTTCAAGGGCAGTGCACTCAGGCAGGCATTGGTGGCCCAGGGGATGGTTTGTCTCCTTGACTGCTGCTAAGGAAGCATTTTGTCATTGTTGGCGGCGGCATTCGCAGAGCGTTCCCTGCGCATGCGCAGGGGACGCTCTGTGAGTTTCGGGGGGATTTAAACATCCCCCCATTTTTTTCAAGGTTTAAGATTTTTGTGCACACATGGGAACCGCCCCACGTGCGCACAAACCTCTCCCTCCCCCCCAGGTCCCCCGGATGGCTATTAGATATATAGACTAGTAAGCAAAGCCCGTCGTGGCGGTAGACGACGGGCCCTAGATAGGAAGGAAGGGTGGGTGGAAGGGAGGAATGGAGCAGAGGAGGTAGAGAGAGAGAGACAGAGTTAGAGAGGGGGGAGAGAGAAAAGGGGGGAGACAGAGACAGAGTGGGGGTAATGATAGTAATTTGGAAAGAAAAAGGAAGGGAGGTAGGAAGGAAGGGGGAAAGAATGGAAAGAAGGAAGGAAGGAAGGAAGAAGGGTATAAAGAGAGAGATTGAGAGAGAGAGAGAGAGAGAGAGAGAGAGAGAGAGAGAGAGAGAGAGAGAG